GCAGGTTGGAATGATAACACTATCCGTTGGAGGGTCAGGTGTATGACAAAGAATTTACCATGAAAGTGTTGTTCCGCTTATGTGAAAAGACAAAAGTCCCCATACTCATCATTGGAAAATAAAATAAAAGAATATGAGATTTTGGCAGATTTTGATTTCTTCTAACGTTAGAGAAACCATGCAATTACTTCTACCTGGATAAAAACTTAGACTTTAAGCCTGACTTTCTTCAGAGACATAAATGGATTCAAGTTATGCTAATGCGCTAGGTTATAAATAACACAAAAGAGGTGACAAATCACAAACATTTTTGGTCATTACTGATATTTTTATTTACGCTCTTCTTAGGTGAAAGAAAATTCCTGCAATAACGGATCTCTGTGGAAAGTCTTTTTGGCTTGTCTCTTAGCCTGTGTGATAACAACAGCAATTGGAGTACTCATAATATGCCTGGTGAATAAGGGGGGGAATGGCAGTCCTTGCATTATTATCCAGGTACCCACCATGAGTAGGGGGCCTGCAGTTACCACTCCTGGAACAACCGCTACTACTTCTCAACCTACTGTGACCACCAGTTCAGCTGGACTGACAGCTACAACCACCTCAACAGAATCTACTACCTCTGCTGCATCCACTGAAAATATAGCCACAGCCACCACTTCAGCTGCACCCACCACTTCTAGTGAACGTACAGCCACAGCAGCCACCACCACCACTTCAAGTGAAACCACAGCTGCCCCCACTTCACCAGAACCCACAAGTGCTACCACAGGATATTATTAGTTAGTAGATTACAGATTATAGATTAGTCTCAGCTGGCAACCAAAATAATCACGACTTCCTCCACCTCTCCCGCTGTTGCACAACTACGTTCACTTCAACTGGAGCTATAACCACTATTCCCACTGCATCTACAACTACTGTGACTTCTACGCAGCCTGCGGAACAGCGGCCCCCTCTCTCCTGTAATCTCCATGTGTGCATCTGAAGCTATAACTACAAATGCCACCGTTATCACTTTGCTCTAATAGAACTACCCGAAATCATCAAAATGTTCTCTTCCATAGCAAGTCATCCTTTAGCTATTTTCGCTGCCAATTAATCTACAGCTATCTTCCCTCGCTGGCTCTTTCCCCAAATTGTAGCTGACTCTTCAATAGCTTGAGTCCATGTCCACTGCCATTCCCACATTATACCTGTAGCAGCTACCATGATGCCATTTGAAGAACAATAATTTAGACAGTGAATAATGGAATAGTTACCTTAATTTTCAGTGCATTGACACTTAGGACTTCTAAAACTATTAAAACTATTTTCATTTTTAAATAACTGAACACCTAAGGTATAAGAGTCTTCTCTTGTTTCTGTAGTTGAAAATAATATAGTTTTATACAGAAAAAGTACCCAATTTGTTCATTTAGAAAGTCTTTAAGAAATTGTTATATAAAATCTTAAAGTAAAATTAGCAATTTTGATTTTTGTATGTTTTGGTTTCAGTTCAGAGCATTGCATTCCTCTGTAGACAAATTACACACATAAAAAACAAATTTTATATGGGGGAGATTTAAATAAGCTTATGTAGAGAAAATTTTAGAATTTATAATTTTTTCCTTTATGGTAAAGTTTCTTATGTTTTTTCAGTCTCTCTTTAGGTTGTAATTACCTTTTAGGCAGCCATATTCTATTTGCATTAATAATACCAAAAGTGTATTTGAATCTCTATTTTAAAATTAAATGATTAATTTTCTGCAATCTTGTAAATCAACTAATTAAAGTCATGTCTAATTCCCAACTATGTGCTTAAGTACAGAAGATACAGAAGAAGAAAATGCAGATTAAGCAGTAAATTCATTGATTTAGACTCAGTTAATTTTGAAATCTTCATAATTCTAGCAGATTTAAATTATAATTAATGATACCCCAGATTTACTAAATCAAGATCTTTAGATTGGAACATCTATATTTTAACTTAATTTAAAATAATTTAAAAATCTTTACAGATGATTTTAATGTCCAGGCAGGTTTGAGAATCACTGATTCAAAGGTCATAATCTAAGAGTGACACTAG